ATAGGCAAACAGAAGTCCTCAGAGGCCAGTAAAGAGGGTTGGATCCCCTGGAACTGGAGTTACAGGCAGTTGTTAGCCACCATGTGGTTGCTGGGAGTTAAACCTTGTTTTCTGCAAGAACAGTAAGGGCTCTTAACCTCCAAGTCATCTCTCCAGACCAATCTCCCTTTTTTGTTTTTGAGATTGGGTCTTACTATGTAGTCTTGACTGGCCTGGAACTTGTTATATAGACCAGGCTGGCCTTGAACTCACAAAGATCCTCCTGTCTCTGCTGGAATAAAAGGCATGAGTCACCACACTGAACCCTAAAGATCTATCTATCTATCTATCATCTATCTATCTATCTATCTATCTATCTATCTATCCATCCGCCTATCTATCATCTATCTACCTATCTATCATCTATCTACTTGTGTGCCTATATGAGTTTTATGTGTACCACATATGTGAAAGTTCCTGAAGAGGCCAGAGGATATTGGATACAGTGGAACTGGAATTATAGGTGATTGTGAGCCACTTGATGTAGGTGGGAACTGAACTCTAGTTCTCTGAAACATCAGTAAGGGCTCTTAAACACTGAGCCATTTCTCCAGCCCCCATTTCTATTCTTAGTTCAAATTCTTGTGGCACTATTTTTTCTTCGGGATGGCTTATTGGATTGATAATCTGTGCTCTAATTTGTAACTTTTTTTTTTTTTAGACAAGGTCCTTGTAGTCAGCCACAGCTGGCCTGGTACTATGTAGACCAGGCTGGCCTAGATCTCACAGAGATCCACTGTTTCTGCCTCCCAAGTGCTAGGATTAAAGGCCTGTGCTGCCCAGCTAATTTGTAACTTTTTTTTTTTGCTCCCTTTTTCCTTGTAATTCATTGCTTAATATAAAAGCAAGAACTTGTGCCATTCTCACTGTATTAAGTATATTTACATGCATTATCTTAATTTTTTGTATTATTTTTCATTTTATGTGTAGGTGTGTATTGTCTGCATGTAGGTAAGGGCACCTGTGTCGTGCAATGCCCGAGGAGGAGAGAAGAGGCTGTTGGATCCCCTGGAACTGGAGTCACAGACAGTTGTTAGCTGCCATGTGGGTGCTGGGATTTGAACCCTGGTCTTCTGCAAGAACAGCCAGTGTTCTTAACTGCTGAGCCATCTCTCTAGCCCCTTCTTATTTTTGAAAAAGTTCTGTGAAGAACAACCATTTGACACAAGAGGAAAATAGACTGAGTGAGGTTGAATGAATCTTCCATTATCATAGAGCTAGTCACTGCAGGACTAGTTCTTGAAGCTACATTGTCTGACTCCCAGGTATTCCTCTGTAGCACAGTTGCCCTATTAGCCTTAACAGTGCTTCTTGTTTATAGAACAAATAAACTCCACAACCGAGTTAACTGAGTTCTTTATGTATGTACTAAACTTAAAAATATTATTCCAAATGTGTTATTTTTCCATTTGCTTCTAATTTTTTTCAATTTTGAAAATTTCTCCAAAACATTATTTCCAGAAAAAAATTAAATTTCTCACTGTATATGTTTTTTCCTTCAATAAACATGTTATAATTTTCTTCTGTTTTTCAGACAGGGTCTCGCTATGTAGCCCTGGCTGGCCTCTATCTTGCCTATGTAAACCAGATTGGCCTTATAAATCCTCCTGCCTATACCTCCTGAGAGCTGGTATTGTAGTATGTAACACCATAATTGAGTTTTCCTTTAAGGGAAGCCAGGTGTGGTGGTGCATGCCTTTAGTCCCAGCACCTGGGAGGCAGAGGCAGATGGATTTCTGTGAGATTGAGGCCAGCCTGGTTTACATAGTGAGTTCCAGACCTACTGGGGCTACAGGGAGACCCTGTCTAGAAAACAAACAACAACAAAAAGTACTAGGGAGTTCAGAGGAGAAATAAGCTACATACAGCAAGAGTTTCTTTGGCAAGGCCATGTAAACTCAAGGTTGAAGGGATACCAAGTGGCCTGAGATATATTTCACAGGGAGAGAACCACATTAAGCTGACACTGAGATCAGAAAGATATATAGTAACTGTGGGAAAGAAAAGTCTTCTGGCTTTCTAGAGGTGTGGGAGCTGGGAAAGGAAACAAGGTTTCCTTTTTTAGTTTTGTTAGGGATGGCATGGGGTCAGTGAGACAGGGTCTTATATAGCCCAGGGTGACCTCAAACTCATTAATTTGGTCAAGTCTGGCTTTAAACATGTGATCCTCCTGTCTCTCAATTGTTAGGGTTGCAGCATTTGTACCACACTGGACCTGGAGTCCCTTAATGCCAACTATCAACTTGGAGACCAGCACTTTAGGACTGATGCCTCCCTGGCAGTAAACATGAATGCACATATCCTAACCGGTGGGATGACTCTTGAGGATTCCTGGGCAGTACTTTTCCAATAGGAGGGGATCTAGGTCAACATACACAGAGCAGAGTTTTGCCTGTAATGGTGATAAGAATACCGGTGACTTCTAAGCAATTAGGAATTTTGTCTCAGGTCAAGGAAGTCCCTGCAGGAGATTGGGTGTGAACACAGGAAATAGGCAGTAGTAAATAGGCAAAGTCCTGAGACTGTAGGGAGCAGGTTTTACAGTAAGGGGATGACACAGCAAAGGAGGACACTGCTCTTCTGAAGAACAAAGAAACCAAGGGGCGGAGCCTGGATAAAACAGCAAAGAGTCAGGCAGAGTTCTGGGTTCAATTTCCAACAGGTTCAGAGTCAATTTCTTCTTAGTTTTGTGGGGGGTGGGGTGGGTAAGACAGGGTCTTTCATAGCTGAGGATGGCCTCCAACTTAATATTTGGTCAAATCTAGCTTTGAACACATGATTCTTCTGCCTCAGCCTCTCAAGTGTTAGGATTACAGGCATTCCTATCACACTCAACCAATTATGATTTCAAAGATAAGACAGCTTCAATGATCAATGATCCTGATTTAATATTTAAAATTGTTAATATAATCAAATAATTGGCAAAATTTCAGAATATGGCTCCACTCTTGCAAATAACTGAATAGAATGGAGTTTTTTTATTCTTATTTTTAGCAGTTCATTACTTCCCAAATTTATGTGATAGTATTACTAATCAAATTAAGCTTTCTACATTAAAATCTTTCTTTCTTTGATTAGTATTACTAATCAAATTAAGCTTTCTACATTAAAAACAACAAAACCTTAACCTAACATTTAAGCCAGTGGTAGCATATGCCAGCAACACTATTTGAGCATCTGGAACAGGAGGATCTTGAGGACAGCCTGAGTAATTTAGAGACTAGGGCTTTAGAAATGCTTTACATTGAATTAATCCAGCCATTTGGGAATAACCCAGTGAACACAGAAGAGTCATTCATTCATTCATTCATCCATTTTTCTGTCTCCAACTTTGAGTAGACAAAGACGACCTTAAATTTCTGATTCTCCTGTCCGCACCTTCCAAGTGCTGAGATTACAAGCAGATGCCACCACACCTGTTTTATGTGGTGCTGGGGCTTAAATACTTCATGCATACTAGGTAGGCACTCTTCCTCCTGAGCTACATCGGCAATCACCTGAAGTTTGCCTAGGGTGCTCAGTTATGACTGAGAAGCCAGTGCTCACAATTTACATAGTTAGCCTGTTTTAGAATTGTTGACTTACGTTATCCTAAGACATTATCCACTGGAGGAAGAATGATTCAGAGGCGATGGCTTTAAGTAATAAGACCAGAGAAGCAACTGGAGGAAGATGAATTAAAGAGCCTTCAGTCCCAAAGCTTTAGGGGTATTTCCAGAAGACAAACGTAAGTCTTTAAGGGATGAGACTGAACATCACAACAGCAGTTTCAAAGGCTCATTTTGGTTATACATGAAATATAGAGACATTCTAGGGATGGTGACGTGTGTGTTACAACCATCCCGACCCACCGAGCTTTTACTTCTTTTTAAAATCACTTTATTGATTTCCGGATGTCCCAGGTTTTCTACTTTCAGGTTGAACCAGTTCACCAGGTTCAACTACTTCGTCATCACAACCTACATGTGTGGAGTGATGGAGTATACTGAGAACGGTAGAAGTGTGGCTATTTCAACTACAGAAAGGAAGAGGAAAGGAAGTAAATAAGACTGATGGGGAGAGAGGAAGGAGAGGGTAAAGCGAATGGCACCGGAGTGGTGGAGCAAGGCCCACCACAACAGCACACTGGAGACTGAGACAGGAGGATCATGAATTGGAGGCCAGCCTGGGCTGCATGGCCAGATTCTGCAACGAACTAACCAACCTATAAGCAAGTAAAAGGCAACGAAGAGGCCGGCAGGGCTGGGCAAGCTTGCCACCTTTCGATTTTCCACCCGGTGGTTTGACTTTGACCGCAGAGAGGGCCCCGCCTCCTTGGTCTAGGGCTCTCAGGCTCCCGGGAATTCCAAGCACCGCTTAGACCCGAAGCAGCGAAGCTTCCATTCACTGGGATGTTCTCCCAGAGGCCGGGGTTCCTCAGTCTAGCCGCTAGAGAAGGCCGATGACATCATCCCGACCCACCGAGCGCAACGAGCTTTTCTTTTTGTAACTCCGGCTCCTTAAGCACACCGTGAGGTCTCGACCGGCCCCACTAGAGGGCCGTTTTGGACGCTTCTGGTTTTGGCAAAGAGGCTGTCGACTAGCTCAGGGCGCTACACCCACACAGGGACACATGGCCACCCACGCCCGTCACTGTTCCAACACCCTCAGCCCCAAACCCCGCGATAAAACCTCTGCGGAGGATCCCAACACAGTCAGCAGGGCGGCGGGGAGAATATCAGGGGTGGGGAGCAAAAGGCTGGGGCCAGCCGGCCGTAGTTCGCCTGCGCCTCCCCTAGGCCACGCCCCTCGTGGGGCGTGCTCGTCACGCAGTGCATCCTATCAGGAGGCCTCAGGGAGCGCGCCCGTGGCCTCTCCCTCTCTGGCCCCACCCCCGCGTGCCCACCACGCCCTCCTGCGCGCGTGCGCAGAGGCGGACCGCAGGGGCCAGGGCGCGAGAGAAGGGCGGGCGTACGTCCTTGCGTGCGTCTCAGGCAGCGCGCACGCCGGCGTGAGAGGGCACGGGGGAAAAAGGTGGCTCTGGCCGGGCGGCTGGGCTTCCTGGGGCTATGTAGCTGGGTTCCTCGGCTCGCGATTCCTCGTTCGCTGCCCAAGGCCACGTCCTAGCGCGGAGTTTGTGCTCCGGACGGAGGCCGTGTTCAAGCCCACCGCGCTCCCTCGACGGTAGAGCTCGTTCGCTCGCTCGCCCGTGGGAGCGTCCCGGCCGAGCCGCGTTGAGGGGGGAGGGGAGGCCATTTTGTCCCGACCGACTCCCCGGAACCGGGCGGAGCGGCTGGCAGAGGCTGCGGAGCTGCGGGCGCCGCCCCTTGGAGGCACGGGCGCCGCCACCGTCGGGGCTTCCTCGACGAGGCCGTTCGGAGAGGCTCCCACTGCGTCTCCAGAGCTTTCTGCCCCGCACTCGCTGCCCTGCTCCGGCCCCTGAACGCCCGGGTGAGGAGTTGGCCGTAGTGAGTAGCACCGATCCCTTGGGGCCGCCGGCGGCTAGAGCCCGAGCCGCTCCTCCCAATGGCGAAGAAGACGTACGACCTGCTTTTCAAGCTGCTCCTCATCGGGGACTCGGGAGTGGGCAAGACCTGCGTCCTTTTTCGTTTTTCGGATGATGCCTTCAATACCACCTTTATATCCACCATAGGTAAGTCCTGTGGGAGGATGGTGTGCGGGCTCTGGGGTTGCAAGCCGTTTTCTTGTTTTTCCAGACATCTTGCTTCCCAGAATTTACGCCTTTGTTTCAGTGATTCCGATTCCAGACGACAGACCTAAGTTACTGTTTGAATCGGTGTAGAGCTTGCTGGGGCGGGGTCTTCCCATGCATCCCATCCGGTCTTTTGCTTTCAAGTCTCAGTCTCTCTCTCTCCCCCTCTCTCCCTCTCTCCCTCTCTCCCTCTCTCCCTCTCTCCCTCTCT